TCAAAAATCAGGTGTTCGTAGGTGTGTGGGTTAATATCAGGGTTTTCAACTCTATTCCATTGGTCTACCTGTCTATTTTTGTGCCAATACCAAGCTGTTTTCAGGACTATAGCTCTGTAATAGAGCTTGAATTCAGGGACGGTGATGCCTCCAGAAGTTCCTCTATTGTACAGGGTTGTTTTAGCTATCCTGGGTCTTTTGTTTCTCCATATAGAGTTGCATTCTCAGAAGTTTTATGGTGATTGTTATGATAAATCTTTCTGCCAAAAGCTGCCGGAGCCCTACCGCCACGTGGGTGGTCTCCGCCAGCCGCGGAGTTCTGGCCCCCCCCCCCGAGTTATGGCCCCAATTAATGCACAGAGACTTATATTAGGTACAAATGCTGCTTGGCCCATGACTAGGATTCTCATCTGTTAGCTCAGTCTTAATTATCATAACTCTATATGTTTTATAAGACTTACCTTATCAGATGCCTTCCATTGGCATCCTCCCTTGCTGGTGGATCACATGGCGAATCTGGAGGAAGAGAGAAGGGGCCCACTTTCTTCTTCCCTTGTTTATGTATGAGTCTCCCTGCTATGTCATTTCCTGCTTGGATCATCACTTCTTTACTACATTTCCAAGAATCCTCTTTGACTCTTAGTCCCGTCTAACTTGCTGCCTCATTGGCCAAACAGTACTTTATTCAACAATCAATAAGATAAACATACACAGAAGTACATTCCCCATCAGTGACTTTTGTTTATGTCTCATTAGTTAGAATCACATCATATTTCTTTGAATGACACATTGACCAGTTGTTGTCACAGAGAATGGATCATTCTGATTGGCGTTCACTGGTTGTGATTCATCTCTTGCTACTTTGCCTTCCCTGAAAGAATCACGAGGAGGGGTGCCGTGGATGTGAGTCTTAGCAAGGATAGAGGGAGTTATGGCTGGTGAGTAGTATGTTGTGTGTGTATCTTAGTTTGAACTCAATGGGTTCATATATGAACTGGTTTTATGTTCCTCAAACCATGGCTTTAAAATTGCTCCTTAGAATCTTCATTTCCGGTCTCTCAATAATACCATAGGAATATACTACAGTTCGGTTTTGTTTAAACTTAAATCTCATACCCAATTCAGCACTCTCTCCCCACTTCCTTTCTCTTCCTTGGTCTTCTGCTTCTCCTGGTGTGTTTAGGTCAGAAAGAGGGACTAGATAAACAGAAAGAAATAAACATCCTTTACCTGATTATTCCTGTAATCTTCTCTGGCCAAGACTCAATGACCTTATTTTCTATGTGGGAAGAGTACAAATGACTGACTGTGGGGGCTGGTGCATTTGAACTGAATCCCTGGAGGGACCTGGACTGTCAGATACAGTTTCCTTCCTTCCTTCCTCCCTTCCTTTTAAATAATTTATTCTTTTAAATTTCTTTTTACGTTCCTACCACAGTTCTTCCTCCCCACGCCTCCTTCCGCACTCCTAACCCCCACCATTCTACCCCCAGGTCACTTCTCCTCACTGGTAAGGGCTCCCATGAGGAGACAACATAGTCTGACACAATAGGTTGGGACAGGGCCAGTCTCCTCCCCCTCTCATTAAGGCTGAGCATGGTGTCCCACTATAGGCAATTGGCTTCAACAAGGTAGCTCATGTACCCGGTTTGTATCATGGTCCTACTGCCAGGGGCCCCTCAAGCTTCATAACTGTCTCCAAAATACGGAGGGCCTAGTTTGGTTCCCTGGAGTCCCCACAGTTGTAGATCTAGAGTTCAGAAGTTTCCATGAGCTTGTTTCAGTTGTCTCGAGATTTCTCCTTCATGATCTTGACCTCCCTTGCTCATATGTTCCCTCCTCCCCCTCTTCCACTGGATTCCTGGAGTCTTGCCTGGTTCTTGGTTGTGGATCTCCAAATGCAGTTTTCTTCCCCCCTTTAAAATTTAAATCAGAAACGAGCTTGTTTTACATGTCAATCCCAGTTCCCTCTCCCTCCCCTCCTCTCTTGGCCCCCACCAACCCTCTATCTCATCCCCTTTCTGCTCCCCAGAGAGGATGAGGCCTTCCATAGGGGATCTTCAAAGTCTGTCATATCATTTGGAGCAGGGCCTAGGCCCTCCCCTGTGTGTCTAGGCTGAGAAAGTCTCCCTTTATGTGGAATGGGCTCCCAAAGTCCATTCATATACTAGAGATAAATACTGATCCACTACCAGATACCCCATAGATTGCCCAGGCCCTCTAACTGACACCTATGTTCAGGGTGTCTGGGTCTGTCCTATGCTGGTTTCCCAGCTATCAGTCTGGGGCCCATGAGCTTCCCCTTGTTCAGGTCAGCTGTTTCTGTGGGTTTCTCCAGCCTGGTCTTGACCCCTTTGCTCATCACTCCTCCCTCTCTGCAACTGGATTCCAGGAGTTCAGCTCAGTGTTTAGCTGTGGGTGTCCAGATTCAGTTTTCTCTCCTACCCTCATCAACCACCATTCTGGGCAGTCAGTCTGTCTTGCATCTTTTCACATGTGGGGTTGTTTTGCTGAGAGTGGTGGGATCTGACATGATGGCTGAAGCTGCAGGACACCTGGCTCACTGGAAACCATCACCTCTTTCCACTCCTATTAGGACAGAGGGCTGCTCATCACATGCTGCACCCACTCTGTCCTGCTGTGTATTTTTCCAATTATGGGTTTTCTTTTGTTAAGTCAGCTCAGGGGACGGATTAGCAAGTCTGCTGCTGTAGGAGCAGGTGCTGAACTTGGAATGACACTTCAGTTTTCCTCCTGTCAGGCATCAAGTCCCTGCTGCATGGCTGGAGGGTAAAGAGAAAACATGACAATCCACGATACTGACAAGCCATACTTCTCTGTTTTTAATTCAAGCTGAGGAGCAGAACAATAGCGACAGGCCCAATTCCAGGACTTGAGAACCACTCCTCAGGAATTCTTCAAGTCATCCCTTGCTAGCTGTCTTTACATGATAGACTACTCAACATCTAACTTTTTTTTTTTTTTTTTTTTTTTTTTTTTTTTCCGGAAGGGGTTTTTTTTTTTGTTTTTCCGAGACAGGGTTTCTCTTTGTAGCTTTGGAGCCTATCCTGGCACTCACTCTGGAGAGCAGACTAGCCTCGAACTCACAGAGATCCTCCTACCTCTGCCTCCCGAGTGCTGGGATTAAAGGTGTGCACCACCAATGCCCGGTGGAACATCTAACTTTTTTAGCCTACAGCTATAGTCTTTGCAATTAGACAATAGGGATTTTAATTCAGCATCTTATTTCAGGTGTCTGCTATAGTGGTTCTTTGCCTCTCCATCATTTAGGAACAATTTTTTACACATATGCACTTGAGAATTTTTTGCACTGTGTGAAACACATAGTTTCCTTTTTTAAAAGAAGATGCTTCTAAGTTTCTCACTCATTTGTTGTACATAATTATGCATCCAGATTGCAAGTCTAATTGTAAATTCTTTATGCTCTATGGCTTGTGTTTCAAAGATACTATCTAAGGAGCTAGGAGATGGCTTACTTAGCAAGTAAAAGTGATTGCTGTGTAAGCCTGATGACCTAAATCAGTTCTTGAAACCCACGTAAAAAGCCAAATGAGGGAGGCTTACAGGCCAATTAACTTAGAGTATGCAGTCCAGCTGTGGAAATAACAGAGGCCCTGCTCCAGCAAGGTGGAAGGAGAGAAACGAGTACCAAAAATCTTGTCCCTAACCTCTATATGTGTGCTCCCTCTCTTCCTTCTTTTTCTCTTTCTTGTTCTTATACATTTATACCACAAATAAGTAAATTGAAAGATGCTGCCCATAGTAAAAACATCCTAAAATATGTTAGTGAAGAAAGGAGAGTGTAACTATAATGACAAGTCCCATGTAAAAAGGAGTGATCGAGCCAATGAAGGAGCACAAAGGTTTCATGCCTACTTTTGGAACAACCCATTGGTTAGCTAATTGTGTGGTTCACATATTATTTTTATTATTTTTTCTCTTACCCATTTGTTCTTGCATTTCACATGGTAAAATAGTTTCTGGTCCTCCAACTACAATAGCTGTAGTCTACTTACACCAGTACTCTTTCCTAATTCCCTTTCTGAGCTTCTGCACTGTCTCATAGCTTCCAGCATTTATTCTTCACTCAGTAACCATATATTCTTTAAAAAATTTAAATTAGAAACAAGCTTGTTTTACACGTCAATCCCAGTTCCCTCTCCCTCCCCTGCCCCCCACAGACTCCCTATCCCATTCCCTTTCTGCTCCCCAGCGAGGGTGAAGCCTTCCATGGAGGATCTTCAAAGTCTGTCATATCATGTGGAGCAGGACCTAGGCCCTCCCCCATGTGTCTAGGCTGAGAGAGTCTCCCTCTCTCTGGAGTGGGCTCCCAAAGTCCATTCATGTACTAGGGATAAATACTGATCCACTACCAGAGACCCCATAGATTGCCCAGACCTCCAAACTGATATTCATGTTCAGGGGGCCTGGAACAGTCCTATGCTGGTTTCCCAGCTATCAGTCTGGAGTCCATGAGCTCCCCCTTGTTCAGGTCAGCTGTTTCTGTGGGTTTCTCCAGCCTGGTCTTGACACCTTTGCTCATCACATCTCCCTCTCTGCAACTGGATTCCAGGAGTTCAGCTTAGTGTTTAGCTATGGGTCTCTGCTTCTGCTTCCATCAGCTACTGAATGAAGGCTCTAGGATGTCATATAAGGTAGTCATCAATCTCATTATAGGGGGAGGGTATTTAAGGTAGCCTCTCCACTATTGCTTAGATTGTTAGTTGGGGTCATCCTTGTAGTTCTCTGGATATTTCCCCAGTGCCACCTTTCTCTTTAAACTTATAACGGCTCCCTCTATTATTCTATCTCTTTTTTTTGCTCTCCTTTGTTCTTCTCCTGACTCAATCTTCCTGCTCCCTCATGTCTTCCTCTCCCCTTCTCTTTCTCCTAACTCCCTCTCCCCTCCCCCATGCTCCCAATTTGCTCAGGAGATCTTCTCCCTTTCCCCTTCTCTAGGGGACTGTGTATGTCTCTCTTAGGGTCCTTCTTGTTTCCTAGCTTCTCTGGCCGTTCGGATTGTAGGATGGTAATCCTTTACTCTATGTCTAAAATCCATATATGAGCGAGTACATAACATGTCTGTCTTTTTGTGACTGGGTTACCTCGCTCAGAATGGTTTCTTCTAGTTCCATCCATTTGCCTGCGACGTTTAAGATTCCATTGGCCTCCCCCTGCCCCCTGCTGAGTAATACTCCATTGTATAAATGTACCACATTTTCTTTATCCATTCTTCAGCTGAGGGGCATCTAGGTGCTTCCAGGTTCTGGCTATTACAAATAATGCTGCCATGAACATAGTTGAACAGATGTCCTTATTGTATGAATGTGCATCCTTTGGGTATATGCCTAAGAGTAGAATTTCTGGATCTTGTGGTAGACTGATTCCCATTTTCCTGAGGAACATACATATACATATACATATACATATACATATACATATACATATACATATACATATACATATACATACATACATACATACATACATACATATATATATATATGTCTTGCAGCAAAATGGATTCAGCAGCCACAACAACAAAACCTTTCACCACCTGATATTGAGAGATATCAATGACCAATAATTTGTTTTTGTTTTTATTGTGTTTGTGTGTATGTGTGTGTTTGTGTGTTTCCCTTCTTTTGGTTTTTCTGGTGTGAGATTTTATACACACACACACACACACACACACACACACACACGCAAAGTATTTAAATTTGACTTTTATCATAGAATATCTTATTTTCTTGGTTTTATTATAGAATATCTTATTTTTTCCATCTATGGTAAATGAAAGTTTTGCTGGGTATAGTAGTCAGGGCTGGCATCTGTGATCTTTTGGAATCAGTAGCACATATGTTCAGGCCCTTCTGGCTTTTATAGCTTCCATTGAGAAGTCAGGTGTAATTCTAATAGGTCTGCCTTTATATAGTACTTGCTTTTTTCCCTTGCAGCTTTTAATATTTTTTCTTTGTATATTTCTTTCTGTACATTTTGTGTTTAGATTATTATGTGTCAAGGGACTTTCTGCTTTTTGTACTTTTAAAGGCATCTCTTTCTTTAGGTTAGGTAAATTTTCTTCTGTGATTTTATTGAAAATATTTTCTGGGCCTTTGAGATGGGATTTTCCCATTCTTCTATTCATATTATTCTTATGTTTGGTCTTTTCACAGTGTGTCAGATTTCCTTGATGTTTTATGTCAGGAATTTTTTAGATTTAACATTTTCTTTGACTAATGTATTCATTTCTTCTATTGTATCTTCTGTGCCTGGGATTCCTCTTCAATGTCTTGTATTCTTTTGGTGAAGCTTGCCTCCGTAGTTCCTGCTTAAATCCCTAAATATTTCATTTTCAGATTTCCCTCAGTTTTTTTTGCTTCTCTTCTTATTTTCAGGTCTTGAACAGTTTTATTTGTTTCCTTCAACTGTCTTTTCTTGGCTTTCTTCAAGGGATTTATTCATTTTTGTCCAATTCTTTGTACTTTCCTGGATTTCTTTAAGTGGTTTGTTCATTTCATCCGGTTGTTTGTGTTTTCCTGGACTTCTTTAAGGGATTTCTTTATTTCCTTCCTTTTTAAGGACCTCTCACATCTTTAGACTGTTGGTTTTAAGGTCTTTTTCTTGTGCTTCAGCTGTGTTACAATATTCGAGGCCTGCTGAGGTAAGATAGCTAGGCTCTAGTGGAGACAGACATACTGTCCTGGAGGTTACTGTGTTTTTACACTGGTGTCTTTGCATCTGGGTTTGGGATGTTGATTTCTGGGTTTGTCTTTGTTGGGTGGATGGTTTGCTTCTTAGTTTCTGATTCCTATGTGGGTTTTCAGAGAAGGTGATGGCTGTGTACTGTGTGTTTTATTGGCTGGCTCAGCTGGTATGTTCACAAGTAATGTCTGTTGGTGTTGGAGGCTGGGATACAGTGATGACTGGGGGAGGTGGTGGGGATCAGTGTAATTTAAGAGGGGATGGTCTATGTGATGGGCAGGGGGGTGGTGCAAAGGGAGACTGCAGCTGGTGTTTTGTTTCAGTGCACTGGGTGAGACTGAGGCATCTGGCAGAACAGAGAGAGAGGGAGGAGAAGGTGTGTCCTGTGGGTGTGCAGAGGGTGCCTGCTGGATTTGGGGACTGGGATATATCGATGAGTAGGGGGAGAGACGTTAGGAGGGGATGGTCTGTGGGGTCCACAGGAGATGTGGGCAGTGGGGCAAGGAAATTGCAGTTGGTGTTGGGTTGCAGTGCAAGGGATGAGACTAAGGGATTGAGTCTGGGGGAACAGAGAGAGCGAGAGCGAGAGCGAGAGCGAGAGCGAGAGCGAGAGCGAGAGCGAGAGCGAGAGCGAGAGCGAGAGCGAGAGCGAGAGCGAGAGCGCTGTGGGTGCCTACCTAGAAGTTTTCTCTTTTGAAGGGAGTGGCTGTGGAGTACGAAGAGGATCGTAGAGAGGGCACAGGAGCGTAGGTGGGAGAACTGCGGGTGACGCCCCAGTAGTGGTGCCCTCATGAGTCTCTTTCAATGCAGACAACTTGCTCACCGTTTGTTAACTATCAGGCGTTAGGCAGGCACACTGACTGAACTTCACACAGACCTGCTTCCAAAGAGATGCAACGTGGACACAATGGGCTGAATCTTTCCGTGCTCACCTGTGTTTCTTGAGAACCTGTTATGGTTCAGCACTGCTCTAAGCACTCTCGGCTCAATGGTAAAATAAAAGAACAGACCGATACTTCTGTCTCCATTTCTTTGCTTCCTAGTAAAGAAAGAAAATGAGTAAGTTGTGCATAGCCAGGGAGAAATGCTAAGGACAAAAATAAAGCAGGAAAATGTCGGGGAAAGTTGACATTTTAGAAAGGCCGACAAAGAAAACTCTGACTAAAAGGTGACGTGTGAGTCAGGGTCTGTGGGATGCGCAGGAGGGAGCTAGCAAACTACCTGGGAGAAGTGTTCTAGGAGGAGGAAAAACAAGTCCTGGGACAGTAACATGATTGATATGCCTGAGGAACAGCAAAGAAGACAGTGCAGATGGGGACAGTACAGAGTAAAAGAGGTTACTACTGGACACTGGCGAGGGAGGAAATGGCATCTTGGTCCTGGAGTGCTTTGTAGGTCACTGGAAAGACTGCTTTTTCCCTGCTATGTGGAATGCCTTGTGGAGGGCTCTCAGGGCAGAGATGACAGCATATGTGTTAATTTTAGAATGACTGCTGTGTTTAGTAGTTCAGAGCAGAGGCAAGGATAGAAAACTGGAGACTAGTTAAGAGGAAATTCTAGAAATCCACGTGAAAGGGGGTGGTGGCTTGAGCAGGAAGTGCAAGGGTTCAGAGAGGAAGAAAGTGAGGGGGATTATTCTGGGGGTAGGCCAGGGATAAACAATGACCAGCAGAAACATTTGTGAAATTGCAGGCATTGTACTGTGGCTTATGAAGAGGGCATGAAAAAGGGACTATGACAAATATATTCAGGAAGTAAAAGGCAGCTAGGTCATGGTTCACCTTGAGTGATAGTGCTACTGTGTATCTTCCTACCTTAAACCTATAAGGTTTTAATGGGCAGGGGCTCCGAGAAGAACTTCCAGCTTGCCTTCTTTACTTATTTTTATTAACTATAAGCCTTCTTACTAATATTCTTCTGAGTTCCCTCTCATAGTCCAGGCATTTACTCTTGGAAATGTACTTCATTCTGTGGTTTTAGGCCCTCTCTGCACCATGTTTACATCTTGGAAAACCACAAAACTTTGCCTCCTATAGTCTGCCTTCTTTTTACTTTCTTCCCCTATTCCAACCTTTGTGCTCACCCTACTCTCTCTTTCCTTCTGTGTTCAGACAGGAGTGATCAGAGGGATGAACAAGCCACAGCCTCCTGGGCAGAATTAACCCCTTTGGTGTCATGGAAATTATCTTCCACAAAGGAGGAAACATGTTACATCATAAAGTAGAATGGCACCATCCCAGATCTGCAACCCAACACTTCAGCCAAGTACCAAACAGTTGCAGGTGAGGATGTCCTCTGATTGGCATTGGCAACCATGCCTTCCTACTCCTCTGGTCTCAGGATCAATCATCAAGGTGATTCTGATGTAGGGTGGGGTGAGAGGACTGTAGTCTTTGTTGATGTGGATGGGTATCTCTGTCTCCTGAGGTCAAGTTGTCAATCCCCTTGCCCCAGAGCAGGTCCTATGTCAGGTGGATCAATTGGAGGGTTGGGAGAACTTTGCAAGAGTGACTGGAATCCATCCCAGGGAATCCTGGAGCTTGTTGCACAGCTTGAAGCCAGCTCAGAAGTTTGGAAAGTGCCCTTTCCAGGCAGTTCTGAGCCTCTTTCAGGCAGCCCAGATGGTCTGAGAATGTCTTTCAGCAGTTGTTACTGCTTATGTATGCTTGGGGAAGAAGGGGCCTAGAATATCTGGTTAGTTTCAGGGGCTTCCTGAAGTCTGTGAGTTATTTTCTTCCTGAACTTAAGGAGCTTTTCTGCAGGATGGGATTTTTTTGTTTTACCTCTCTTTAGAACATCATGTGTCTTAATAATGAACTTTCCTCTAAAATAAATGGTTTTATCAGGAGGTAATTGCTACATGGCCTTCTTAAACAGGTGTGTGAGCCCAGATAGGCCTTGTAACTAGGGCTGTAGTCGTGCCATTAATTTACACTTACTCTCTGATTCCCAAGAAGTTGCTTATTTAATTTTAGTCTTAAATTCTCTCTCTCTGGAGTATAGGACATCCATCTCCTCAAACACCTTCCAAGGCAGTTGTGAAACAAGGACACATACAACACAGGCACCATTTGAATGATTATTCTGTTGCTCACTGGACTGCTGTGGATTATGCTTATTGTCAATAAAAAAACTGATTGGCCAATAGCAGGGAAAGAAGAGTTTGTATGAGATAGCCTGATGCAGAGAGAGTGTTGGGAGAAAGAAGGACAGAGTCAAGGAGTCACAGGAGACACCAACCAGCTGCCACGAAGCAGAACGTGTAGAAAATGAGGCAACAATCCATGAGCCACATGGCAAAGCATAGGTAAGAAATAAGGGTTAATTTAAGTGTAAAAGTTAGCTAGCTAGTAACAAGCCTGAGCTATTGACTGAGCATTTGTAACTAATATTAAGCTTCTGAGTTTTTATTTGAGAGTGACTGCAGAACACACAATGTTTTCCTAGAACTTAAGGAGATTCCGGCATGACAAGGTCTGGGACCATCAAAGAAAAAAGTATTCAGTTGCTTGTTTGGAACTTTTGAGTCAGATTTGTTTTGGAAGGATACATTTTTCTAATTGTAGAAAGCATTATGGAGACTGTGTTGTTTATTATAAGGGTATCTCACTGCCAACCACATTTCAATGGCAGAACTGACTATTCATATAAAATGAGCTAAAGAAAGGCTATAAACACCATATGTCACTTTACAGCAAACTTTAAAAAATTAAAAAAAAACAAGTGTGTTAAGTAATGGTCAGGTTTTTCTATCAAATGATTTGTGAAAGGGCTTTTGATTTTTAGCATTTTCTGGGCTTTAGAAGTATCTGTTTGTTGGCTTTTGGACCTGTAGAATTAGGTAGTTTTGGAAGAACAGAGGGAATGTGCTCTCAAGTCCAAAGACCTGTGGATGAACTTCTGTGTTACTGTTTATGATAAATTGAATGATTTTGGGAGCAATTGCTCATATATCTCAGTTCCTGGCTATAACACCTGTGAATGATAATTCAGAACTATTATGACATTGAAGGAGCCAGCACACAAACATGCCTCCTAAGCTCTCTAAAGCTGATTGAGTTCTTCACTTCAAAGGAAGAAGGCTTTCATTTGTTTGGCACTTACTTTTTGGCCAACACTGGGGGCAGAGAGTGCATGTGGCCTGTCCTTACCCTTCAGGAAGCTAAAGGTTATTATGAGGTTAAAGTTTCGTTATGTGATTTGAGAGTTGAGATTTCTTAGGTCTCAATAATGAAGAAGGTTTACTTCACTTAATAAACACATGGATAGGACTTAGTAGTTACTACCTCAGAGCTTGGGCCTGGGAGTTAAAATGTGATGGTAGCTTTCACCACAGTTGGAAAGGCAAAGGGACAGAGAATTGTGAGTGTATGTGTTGTGTGTGTGTGTGTGTGTGTGTGTGTGTGTGTGTACTTAAGAGGGAAAAACCCTGCCTCCAGATCCCAAGCAGTCTTCATAGCATATTCAACAAGTCAGCAGGAGCTAAATCTAATATTTGGGAGGCTGAGATAAGAGGATTGGGAGTTCCAGGCCAGCCTGGATTACATACTGAGCCCTCCAACTCCCTTGTTTTTTTTTTTTTTTTTTTTTTTTTTTTTTTAAAAAGAAGCAAAGTTGATATCTATACAAGGCTTTTCTAAGAGGGAATTAAAACTCCAACATCACCCCTGGAACTGTCACATAACAGATTCTTTTTTTAAAAATCTTAAAATTTTTATTTAAATTAAAAGCAAACCTATTTTACATACCAGTCCCAGTTCCCTCTCCCATTCTCCCATTCCTCTTTACAATCCCCCATCCCATCTTCCATCCACTCCTCAGGGAGGATGAGGCCTCCCATGGGCCATCTTCAAGTCTGTTACATCGTTGCCCCCATGTATCTAGGCTTCCAGAGCCCATTCCTGCACTAGGGATAAATACTGGTTCCATTGCAAGAGGCCCCATAGATTGCTCCGGCCCTCCAACTGACACCCACATTCAAGGGGCCTGGTTCAGTCCTATGCTGGTTCCCCAGCTGTTAGACTGGGGTCCTTGAGCTCCCACTTGTTCAGGTCAGCTGTTTCTGTGGGTTTCTTCAGCATGGTCTTGACCCCCTCTGCTCATCACTCTTCCCTCTCTACAAATGGATTCCAGGAGTTCGGCTCAGTGCTTAACTTCTGCTTCTGCTTCTATCAGCTACTGGATGAAAGTTCTATGATGGCATTTAAGGTAGTCATCAATCTCATTATAGGGGGAGGCATTTAAGGCAGCCTTTCCACTATTGCTTAGATTCTTAGTTAGGGTCAACCTTGTGGATCCCTGGAGATTTCCCTAGTGCCAGATCTCTGTTTAAATCCATAATGGCTCCCTTATCAAGGTATCTCTTTCCTTGCTCTCTTTCTGTTCTTTCCCAAACTTGACCTTCCTGATTCCTCATGTTCTCCTCCCCTAGCCCCTTCTCCATCCTTTTTCTCCTACCTCTCTCCCATCCCCCATGCTCTGAATTTGCTCAGGAGATCTTGGCCCTTTCCCCTTCTCCAGGGGTCCATGTATGTCTCTCTTAAGGTCCTCCTTGTTTCCTAGCTTCTCCGGGCACAACAGATTCTTTCTAAATGTCACTGAATGGTCCCTCTCCTCTCTTAATCCTCCTGGCCCCAGGAATACATGAGAGATATTCACATAATTAAGGATGAGTTTGAATTCAGAACACTTATTTTCATAGAATTTTCACTACTTTATATCAAAACCCAGGACAAAGGTTATCCTTGCCTTAATTAGAGTTTCTATTGCTATGTAGAGACACCATGACCATAGCAACTCTTATAAACGAAAACATTTAATTGAGGCTGGCTTATGATTCTAGAGGTTTCTTGTCGGGAAGCATGGTGGCATGCAGGCAGGCATGGTGCTAGAGAAGGAGCTGAGGGTTCTACCCCCAGATTGGTAGGCAGCAGGAAGAGTAAGTGAGCCACACTAGGCCTGGCTTGAGCATTTAAGACCTCAAAGCCCACCTCCTAATGACACATCTTCAACAAAGCCACACCTCCTAATAGTGCCATTCTCTGGACCTATGGGGGCATTTTCTTCCAAATCACCACAACCCAAAATTATAGGATTTGAGGTATACTGTGGTTAGAACATGAATGGTCCCACATAGACTGATATGTTTGAACACCTGGTCTCCAGCTGGTGGTGCTATTTGGGAGATTATGGAACTACAGGAACCTATCCAGAGGAAGTGTATTGCACTAGAAAGACTTTGAGGTTTTATAGCCTGGACACACATTCTGTACTCTGTGCTTCCTAAACAGAAGACTAGCCTTAAGTTCCTTTGCTTCCATGGCCATGCTTTCCCCACCAGGATGGACTGTAGCCAAATAAACCCTTCCTCCCCTAAATTGCCTCTACCCACAGTGTATTCTATCACAGCTACGAGAAAGTAACCAATATAGAGTAGAATTGGATATGTATATCAAAGAAAAGAGACACAGGGTGTGGATCTGGTAAGGGGCCAGCTTATGTGATATTTTGCAGTCTAAGCACGAGTGGGTTCGCTGATGCTTCTTTCAGTCATTGTTGTGTAGAAACTTACTTCAAGTTGAAATGTTGCATCCTGGGGTGGAGGATGCCATTAAGACTTCTGAAATTCTAAAAGAAGGCTCCTTAAGACTCAGGAAATAACTCAAATATGTCAGGAAATTTCTGAATCTTACCAGATTCACAAATGCCCTTCTCTTTCCAAGGTTATACGCAGACATCAAGGAATACTCAAAAAACAAGACTCTCCATCTGTTGTGCATCCTGCAAGTCATGCCCAGGGATCTAGGGTTCTAGTTTTCATGAGTTGTCATCTACTCCGGGGTGAGCTTCCAGGGATGCAGCTGTCTTCCATGTTCCTGTAAGTCACATATTGTAGGATATTATTTTAACTAGGCAAAGATATGTTGTTACCTTTGTTTATGCTGCATTTATTTAATTATGTAAAGATTTGTTGCATTTGCTTCGCCTTGCCTAACTAAGGCAACTGATTGGTCTAATAATTAGCTGAACAGCCAAAGCTAGGCAGTGAAAGATTACACAGGGTTGGTGGGCAGAAGACAATAAATAGGAGGAAGAATCTAGGTTCGAGAGAAGAATGAGAAAAGAGAATGGCAGAGAAAGAGAGGGACAGGCTTGGGGTTAGAAACCAGGCCACCAGCCAGCCAGAAAGGAGAAACAATGAAAGTAAGATATACAGAAGAGAAAGGTAAAAAGTCCTGAGGCAAAACAGAGATGAAGAGAAACACATTAAAATAAGAGCTAAGATAAGGCCGAGCATTCATAACTAATAAGAAGTGTTGGGTCATGATTTGGGAGCCAATTGTGGCCTAAAAGAAAGCCTGCTACAGTAACATCTCATCCATACTCCAGTAGGAAACTCCGGTAAACATAGTTTTGTCAAGGGACTTTGGCAGTTTGTTGTAGATTCTCTCTCTGGGTGAGTAGACTTACATTCATGTCTTTTCAGGAATAGTGGCATCCAAAACACCCGGTGTTTGTTCTTGGTCCGTGTTCCATCCCTTGCCACCATCTGCTTGCCTCTGCATCAGTGTCCCCTTGGGTTGCATCCTCTGACCTACCTTACTCTCTGGCTTCTGTATCAGTTTGGGCAATGGGAGACATTGGTTAAAACAAGATGGATTGAGAGGGAAGTCCAGGCATTTGCTCCTCCTTCTCAGTCCCTGCTTTGACTGTGTGCTGGGTTGGCTTCTCATATGGCTTTTATGTTCTCTGGTTTCTGAGCATGGCTTGGACCTACTGACTCTCTTCTGACAAATGGAAGATAACAAGAAGGTTTAGTTTGCACAATGCTGTGGATTTGTGTTGTTTAAATAACACATTGGATGTGTTATTTTGCTTGGTTGGTTAAGGTGAGCTGCTATGGTATAAGTAGACACCTTGGCAAAGAACAGAGGATATCCGCAGACTGTTCCAGGAAGGCCAGGAGTATTTCAGTTTAAGTCTTTGAGGGACTGACTCTGCAAACAATCGCACGATTAAATTTGAGCATGGAATGTTCTCTACCCCAGTTCTCCTTTGACTGCAGCGTTGTCAGAGACTGTGAGTCAGAGGACAGCTAAGCTGCACCTGGGCTACTGATCTTCAGAGACACCACCATAAGAAATAATGTTTTAAGGTGGCGAATTTTGGGATAACTGTTTTGCAAATAAATTCAGTACAGCATTATATGTCAATGACTGTACTCTTTATGGCTATGACTGTGTCTGGTGACTTTAAGCCCACAGCCTTAGCTCTCAACTGGCTCAGGCGACACCATTCACTCTCATTGCTTTTCAGTATTAGGGATGATAGTGGCTTTCTGCTGTTGCTAGTCCTTTGCAAAAAAAAAAAATTGATGACACTTTAAGATTTCCTTCCAAGAATGCTGCTGTCTGTTAGAACTCCAACAAGTAGAACCCTTACCATCAGATCATTCTCTTACTAATATATTTCAATTGGCCAGAGACTCTGAAGGTCAGATCCTTCATACATTCAGAACACAGACCTTAGATCTGTGTTACCACTCTGTATTTACCTCATTTTTGCAGGATTGCCCAAGTTCTGCTGTACTGCCCTAATGTCCTATACTTGTAACTTGACCATTGGGCTAAGTGTGCAGATGTAGCAGTGGAGTGGAATTATTTTGAAAGTATATTATTATGAAAGTTCCATACAATATGTTTATGTGTTAATTCATGTTCTTAGGTCTCTGTAAATGTTAATTCCACCGAATATCCTTAGTGACCCAAAAAAGACATGGAATATTAAGGCCCTTACTGTACAGATGAGGAAGTTAAAGCAAAGGTAGGTTGAAGACCCTACATGTGATGACATGTGCTCATGAGTGGCAAAGCTGCGTTCCAAACCCCAGCTTTCTGGCTTCAGAGTGTTATAACACCACTTCCTGCTAAAATGCCAAGTTAGATTTGATAGTAAACAAAAAGTTCTCTTCAACATTACGAAGCTCTCATCTTAACTATTGGGGAGGCCAGTGTCATTCCGTACAGGCCTGCAGTTGACTGGGTGAGTCCTGTTCATCTTATTCTGTACAGGCCTGCAGCTGACTGGGTGAGATCTATTCATAGTACGAAGGGCAATCTGCTTTACTCAAAACAGCCTCTTAGAGACATCTTATATAATGTTTGGCTATATATTTGGGCATTGTGGCTCAGATGTAGTGGCACCTACAATTAATAAGAGCACCCTTTAAGACTTTGATTTTGGGAAATGTATTGAACACCAGTGGGTCCCAGATATCGAAAGGTATGTGATCTGCAGCACCAGGAAGTGTTTTATAGTCCTTAGGAAGGATTCTCTTTACATTATTAGTCTCCCAAGGTAAAGTAGTGATCTCCAGAGAATCCAAAGGGACCAATGAGCCTTTTCTCCTCTTTCCTGTGGGCTAAACAGGAGGCATCCTCATATGTGATTCAGACATAGGGAGTTGGAGTCAACAACCAGGGTTAGAGGATTGCAAATCTCACCACCTATAGGAGTCAATCAGGCAACATAAATTAGCTCTGCAGCCCATGTTTAGGTCAGGTAATGGCATAGGTGCAATGGTGAGTGGGAAATAGTCTCTCATTTCCCAGAGATCAGGAAGAAGTGGCAGAGCTGGAGCATGGGTAGTAGCCTCAGCTTCACCTCCTCGGCTTACTGTTGCCAGATGCTCTCACTCTCCAAAAGAGGTCAGAATCTGAGTATTTATGTGAAGTCTTCTCACTTATTTTTTTGTACATTGAATGTAATATTTTACTGTTTAATATTAAAATGTTAATTTTGAGTCTGACAGAATCGTATTTTCATGAACATGAGGTTTTGAAATATGTATAAACAATGGAATTGCTAAATGCAGCTAATTACAGATGCTTTACCTACTTTACATTTCAGAACAACTTCAGCCATATAAGGAGTTGTTAAGAGAATTTCTACATGTTCTTGGTCTACAAAGGAGCAGAGTGCCCAGATGCTGGAGATGAGTCACATTTGCTTTGTCACTCTCTGCCTTTGTCTTTTCCTGAGCCCTTTGGGAATTAGAGTTGTGTTTTTAATAGACATGGCAGGCTTCTTCAGAAATGGCTCTCTGTGGTCTTCATGATGGCAAGCCCGAGTTCTTATGTATTTAGGAACAAAGGTTTTGTTGCACCAACAGCTCTTCTTCCTCCCTCTTTATTCAGGATTTTGGGGATTTCACATAGCACTTTATACATGCTAAGCATTTACAAATGTTTTACCTCTGAACTACACCCAGCCCTGTTTTTACTTTTCATTTTGAGACTAAGCTTCTGGTTTTGAACTAGGCTGTATGTGACCGTCCTGTATTAGTCACTCCATCACATAGGGTTGTAGGGTTGTGGCCCCATGTCTAGCTCAATTTCATTCCTTTGTTTGGATTTGAATGTACCACAAAAGTCTACACGTTAAAGGCTCAGACCAAGGATCATTCTATTACTGAAAGTCATGGACCTTTAGAAATTAGGGCTGAGTCAAATGTCCTTAAGGTCATCTGTTGGGTGCCTTCATGGGGGATTGTGGAATACAGTCCCCTCACCCCAGCCTCCTTGTTCATGCAGTAAGCACTTTCCCTCACGTTGTCTCTTCATCAATACCATGTGGCACCCTTTATCAGATACCCAAAGTAATAGGTCCACTTATTGTGTAACTGTAAGACAAAGTGACCCTTTGTCTTTATTTTCGGTATCCAAGCATTTTGTTAAAGTAATTTAGCAGTGAGTATCACTTTCTTTCTGTGTTTAGAAAGGTGAAGATGACAGAATGATTTTGAAGGCAGACATTGAAGATGACTGAGCCATTACCATATTAAATCCCCAAATGACTCTGTGGAGAAGACCATGCCCTGGCTGACAAGTGAGGTGCTCTTTCAGTCATTCTGTTCTGTAGGAGTTTAGCTTTCTTTACCTAACATATTCCTGATACCTGGGACACAGGCTCTCCTAAGAGCTATTCTCTGTGCTCCAGTCTGGAAATTGCCTATGCATCAGAGCAAGTACCCTGGTGGGGAGAGAGAAACCATTCTTTTCTTGGACTTGGACCTTCTACCTCTGAGAGTCCCATTGCTCTTCACTCAATCTAGACTTGAAGGGAATAGAAGAAACATATCTTATCCTTCTCCTGTATCCTGGAAAATAGCTCCTACCCTTTGTGGTGTTTTGATAGAGAATCTCTCTACATTCCAGCATAAGCCTGGCCCTGATCCCCCTGTGTTAACTTCCGGAGTGCTTAGAATAAAGGTTTGTATGTCTCTACCTTGCCTGGCTCCCAAGAACCTTGTTTGAGCAATGCATTTTCCCTAGAGTGTGTGACAGTGAGGCTGCCATTATTACCCACCACAAGGCAAGGGATGAAGGATGATCTTAGGGACAACTGAGCTGAGCCTGTCTTCTTAGTGCTAAATAGGTTCCAAGGTTGAGGGCACAGTGTTATAGGGCTCCAGATATAAGAGATTCTTCATGGATTAAGGGGAATTAGAGGCCTAGGATTTCCAGCTGAAGGCCTTAGAGCCAATTCCAGGGCAGTGGGGGAAAGCCCTATTCAATACTCTGATGCTTCCTATCCTCCCTCCTTGAGGAACTCACAGACATGCTTTAAATTTGATGCCTACAACATGACATTACACAGGGAGTGCAGGTAATATGGAAACAAGTTCAGGAATTGAGGTCTGGCCACTGAAGACATGGCAAAGGGTATTATGAGTGAGCAAACTACTCCTATATGGGAAGGCCCTGTCTGACTCTGAGGTTCAGTGAGAAGTATTAGATACCTACCTCAGTCTTGCAGGGAGCTTCTCCCTCCCTCCCTTGGACTCCTGGTCAGGCTTCCTATGCCACCCTCCTCAAGGAGCACCCATACACTTCAAATTTGATGCTTTCTATTTATTAGCTAAAATTTCATTTTTTGAATTTTAATTTCAGGTTTACTTTTTAATTTTAATGTTTTGTGCTGTAATCATAAAGCCTGGTTCTCTTGAACACCATTACTCAGCTTTTCCTTTCATGTTTATCTTCTCCTTAGTTTCCTTGGCAGCAGCATGAATATCATCTAGAACAGCCATAGGGAAGAAAGGGGGAAAGAGAGGTAGAGAAAAGGAAATAATGAAAGATTAGAGGCAGGGAGATGGGGAAGGAGAAGAGGGAGGTGGCATGAAGGAGCTTCAAAACCCCCAGGCACCAGCTCCACCCATTCCCTTCCTCTCCTAGCTCCATCTTCTGCCTTCCAAACAAACTGATGTCCTGTAGGATTGCCCAGAAACTAAGGTATGGTGTTAGATTCAGCATAGCCTGAAGGATCCAACTTCTTCCCGGGGGAAGGGATGGTAACAGGCAGGCTTCCCAGTGGAAAGGCCTGGATTGAGCCAGCAAGAGCCAGAGTCAGACAGTGATAGAAATTTGAATGTTAATTGGGAAATCAGAGACATTTGAAACCAAAGTGAGGACACTGTCAGTGGTAGAGTTATGGCCTTTGCAGGTCTCATGGTAGGGGTGGTGATGGAGGCTGGGTCTGAGGGAGGTGTGGAAATGCTCATACCAGGTACTATATGGCTCATCTGGGGACACACTCACCTTTAACTTTGGGGAGTAATGACTTTGCCATTTTCTTTATAGATTCTTCTTCCATTTGAACTTTTCCTGCTATGGATTCAAGTTCAAGGCAGAAGAGTTCACACCAGAAAAAGTAGCTTCATTTGTACTCATTATCCCTCCCTCCCTCCCCAGTCCAGGGTACCACAAGCAACCCTTTATTGAGAGAGCCAATGTCTCCCTCTCTCAGGGAAAGGCTGATGAAAGGTCACACACTGTAAAACCTATTGTGCACACGCACACAATCTCTGGGGAGGTGGTTGTGTACAACTGTGTCAGTCTCCTCTGGAGGCTGCACTTGTGCTCCTAGGACTGTGCCTGAGAATGAGGCTGCCCCAGAAGTAAAAATCCTGGCACCGATAGAGACCTACCCATAGAGCTATAACTTGGCTTCTTCTCTTGCTTTTTTCCCTCGTCAACATGTCCAGGAGCTGCTGCATTTCCCATTTTGACAGGTGTCTCATGGGATTCTACAAGAGGGTA